GGCGTCCCGGCGGGTGAGGCCAGCACGTCCAGCCGCCCCTGCCCACGCAGTTCCGGTTGGCTCTGCGCCGCAGACCGGACCGGGACCCCGACCAGCGGCAGGGTGCTGCATCCCGCGGGCCCCTCTAAAGGCGCTCGAGCCCCCTTCCACCTGCCTCACGCTGCCGCAGCCGTCCCCAGGGTCCCTAACCCTGGCCACGGCTGACTGGGCGGTCGCCTGTAGTGGCCGGCAAGGACCTCTGACCCCTGCCCGCCCCTCAGCACCCCACCCTGGCGCGGCGACGCGGCTCTTGCCCTAAATGCACAAGGAAGCGAGGCATCCGCGCTCGCTGCCCAGAGGGCACCGGAAGTCCCCTCTGAGTCACCTGGACCGTTCTCGCACCCCAAAGGGGGGTCCCCCTCTGGAGTGAGCTGTGGGGCGGAAGGGCCGGGCCTGCAGCAGCCGCTGGGGGGCGCTGCCCACGCTGAAGGCCCTGCGGCGGGCGGCCACCAAGTGCTGCCCCTCGCGATGGAGCCCAGGCCCGGGCTGGCCCAGACCCCGCGGCAGGCGGGCGGCCCCGTGTGCCCGCTGCCTCTGCGCCTGGGCAGCGCTCCCACGGCCTGGCCCTGCCTCTCTGCTGGCCCCAGGAAGCAGGTTCCTGAGCCAGGGGCCTGGCCGGAGTCTCGGTGCACAGTCAAATTTGGGGGGACCCTCCACTGGCCCAGAGCCTGCACAGGACGTCTTCTCAGAGTGTGGTCGCAGCTGACACGGAAAAGGAGAAGCAGGGTGCAGCCAGAGCCAGCGGGACCTCAGCCCTCTCCCCAGCCCGGCGCCAGTCCCGGGCAGAGGTGTCCAGGGGAGCTGCCCCTTCTTGAGCCCCAGCGGGAGCTGCGTGGCAGAACCAGAGCTGCAGCCAGCGCCGCACTGTGCTGCTCCGGGGGCCCGGGGGGGGGGGTCCGATCCAACAGGGTTTGCCTTGCTCCATCTCCAGTAGGGAGCTGGGGGGACCTGGGGGCTGCCCGTCTGGCCAGGCGCCCCCTATCCATCCGGCCTCCTCCAGGGCCGAGGTCTCTGGGGCCTGAGGCCATCTCTTGGGGCTCTGAGACACCCCAAGCCTGGCTCCCCTGGAGGGAGGAGGGACTGCTCTGTGGGAGGGCGGGTGGGCGGCTCCCCGCAGGGGGCTCCTGAAACCCCACCAGCAGCGAAGTGAGGGTCCACTGGCTGGCCGCAGGAGCCGCTGCAGGGGCTGCTGCTGCCCGGGGCAGCCCGACCTGGGTTCCTGCAGGAGACTGACCTGTGCACCCATGGGATCAGTTCCGGGGCAGCCCAGCTGCGACCAGGGCCCAGGCCCAGCGGCAGGGCCAGCCGGGCACCCCCGGGTGCCGAGCGTGAGGGAAGGACGGGCTCCCTGGGCCGCTTGGGGTCCACAGCGGCTCCGGGGCCTCGGTCAAGCACCGACGCCGGCCGAGTGAGGCTGAGCCACGGTGCGGGGGTGGGGGAGAGGCCTGGGGGTCCGGCGGCTGGCCGAGCCCCGCTCACCGGTGGTCAGTGGCCAGCGGGGCCGCACTCTGCCCGGCTACTCAGAGAATGGCGGGAACATGCCCAGGTCGGCGAAGTCCTCGATGTTGTAGTTGCCAGTGCCCTGGGTGGGGTCCCCCGACATGGGCAGCATGTCCTGCGGAACAGTGGGGACACAGCGTGGCTCATCTCTGGACTGCGGCGCCCGGCGGCCATCGTGCCTACAGGGCGCCGGCTCGCAGCCCACTTCTGTGGGTGGCCTGAGGCCCGGGCAGCTGGCGGCAGGGTGGGCCCAACCACAGGGGCGGGGCCCCCCGAGACCCACACAGGCTGGAGGGGCGGCCCGGGCGGGCGGCTCCCCACGCCAGACCATGCTCTCAGGGAGCCAGAGGCGCTCTGGACCCGCCCGCCCAGGCCAGGGCAGCACCCTCTCAGGCCAGCTGCAAAATGGCTGCGCGTCCTGCCCGCGCCGCCTCGGGTGCTGCGGTGGGCAGCTGGGCCTCGGCCGCCTGCAGAAGTGCCCAGGGCTCGAGAGGGGCCTCGGCTGGCCTGCAGCCAGACCAAGGCCAGCAGGCAGGAGGCCCAGCCTGGCCGCAGCGTGTCTGAAAGGACGCTGCCCCTTGGGGACCTGGCACGGGGCTTCCGGGTGGGGCCCGAGGGTGCACCCCCAAGGTAGGGTAGGGGCAGGGCGGCTCAGACGCGGAGGCTGGAGCGGCTCACCTGGAACACCTCGGTCTGGCCAGGCTGCGGGTGAGGGTGCTGGTCGCCGCTCTGCTGCCCATGGTGCTGGCTCTGCCACTGCGACCAGACTTCCGAGGGCCGCCCCTGGAACTGCCCACTGCTCTGTCCACTCTCAGCTGTAAGTTGATATGCCGGCAGGTCCCGGAGACGCCACCAGGGGGGCCCAGGGCCACCCCAGAGGGACCCAGCTTCCTGCCCTAGACGCCCGCCAGGTAGTTCTCCACGCACCTGTGCACAGGTGTCGCCAGCCAGCCAGCAGGGCGGTCAGTGCCCCCCCCCCCGGCCAGGGGTCCCCACAGCAGCCCTGGCCAGCAGGCAGCCCCCACGCCACTGCCCTCCGACCTGGGCCTGCCCACGCTGCATCAGCTCTGGATCAGCCTCAGCGGGCGAGGCCCAGCCAGGAGATCGGGATGCTCCTTCACCGC